ATTTATTTATACTAATAGCAGCGATCAGCAACCTATAACAGGACTGCAATAGTGCGGTGGGCAATCTGACACTAACTGACACTGACATTACCAGTGACATTAATACAGTGATCAGTGATAATGCTGTACACTGTCACTGTACTAATAACACTGACTGGGAAGGGGTTAACATCTAGGGTGATCATGGGGTTCAATGTGTGCCTCACTATGTGTAATGTGTGTAAAGTGTGCTGCTTTTACTACTAGATCTCTCCGTTTCTCATTCCTGCTTCACAGGGATGAGAAACAGACAGATCGCTTCCTCTGTACAGAGCTCTGTGTTGTTTACTAACACAGAGCTCTGGGCTGTGATTGCACACAGCCGATCAGCAGGTACTGGTCATTAATCACTGGCTGGGTGACAGGCTCCTGCTGTGTACAATCACATGGGGTACCGGGCGGGGGCGCATATGCGTGTGCCCTAAACCCGGAATTAGGCAGCAATGTACCTTTACCTTCAGCAGCCGCCTGTCCGCAGTACATTGCGGGCGCCAAGTGATTAAGCTGCAATAGGCAGCAGATGGGGATGTTAACACGCTATAGCTGCAATGCTTCCGCGATGCAAAGTTCACCCAGCAAGACCGCCAAACGCTACACAGTCAAGCAAATAGTTAAGCGCTGCGAGCGCCCCCCCCCCCCCCCCCAACCACATGCAGTGCACACAGTTGCGGCATGTGTGTCGGCAAAAATGGTGTTAAAACAGACGGTGAGGAGACTTCACATCACTTCCCTACCACCTGTCTCTGCACCATGATGTGAACATGAGTCGGGATTCAGAGGAAAAGGAGATTTAGACATATCTAAAATCTACCCTAGCAATAACATGGAACATAGCTGTGACAGAAAGAGCAGCAAACTGTATTTACATTCAGTACATACTTTGATGTATTCTTGCATTGTTTACAGTAAAATACAACTTTTTTATGTTAGTTTCACATTTTTACATGCTTGTCATTCCATAATTTTGATATTGCATTCATTGAGTAGATAATTGTTATTCAGCCACTAGAGGGAGCCAACGCACCATTTTCATTCAATCCCTTCAACTTGTCAACTATAAAGGCTCATGTACACGGGATGTTTGGAAAACTCTTCTGAACGATGGAAACTGACTACTGGAAAACGTAGGTTAGAAAACGTCAGTTCAGCCACGTCTTCATACCACGTTTATGCGCATTTATTTGCGTTTAGAACGGTTTTAAAAGATAACCTCAGGAGACCTTTCAAAATGCCCAGAATGCACTGAAAAATAGTAAATAATTAACTGTTTCAGACATTTTGAGAGGAATAGAGAGAGCAGAAGCAGAGAGAGCAGTATGTGTTGAGATGACCTGTCTTTTCTGGACGTATTCACTATGGATCCCATCATGAGCATAATGCGGTACGTTGTACCATTTTTTCCTTCACACAAACCTGGAACTGACTGCGCTGGTGTACCGGGTCCATTTGAATACATGGAAAACACTTTGCATGCATTTCGGATCATGAAAAAAGGCACCCGGACAGCATCTGGACATGGAACAGTTAAAAAACCTTTATAAACGCAAACGCTTATAAATGCAAACTCTTATAAACGCAGTTAAGCCCGTTTATAAGCGTTTGGCGTATGAAACGCCGGTAAATCTACTCCTGAACATATTCAAAAAAACGACTGTAAACTCAACTGCCTGTAAACTACCTGTAAACGACAATGTGTACATGGACATAGGAAAACATTAGGGAGAGTTCAGGGGCAGCTGAAAAAAATGCAGAAAAGCTGAACGTTAGTTTAGGAGCTGCAGTGTACATGAGCACTAAAGGATAAGTTCAACTTTTGGACAAAAATAATAAATGCACATTTTTTTTGCAGGCAAAAAAATGTGCATTTATTATTTTTGTCCAAAGGAGCCTGGAAAGCTTAGCACCAGCAATCAGTAGATCGCTGATGCCATGCAGGTCTCCAGCTTCAATGAACTACCATGGAGCTCCACAATGCCGTAGTAGTTCATTGAAAACTACAAGGCTGTTGGGACCTGCAGTTCATTCATTCACAGAAGTCTGTGGGCGGAGCCCCGCACGTCCGCGCTGTTTTCAAATTTGACAGACAGTATGGGGAAACTTCTCCCGGTATTATCTGTCAGAGGTGGGGGGGCAACAGGTGCGGCTGAAGCTATGAGAACATGTTACATGTTCCACCCTAAAAACGGGTGGAACATGTAACATGTTCCCAAAGGTGAACTTATCCTTTAACCCCTGGGATGAGATAAATATGGCTGCCTCCGTGTATATACATTTACATAGATATATATGTGTATATATATATACTGTGTATATTGTGTGTGTGTATATATATATATATATATATATATATATATATATATATATATATATATATATATATATATATATACACTGTGTATATGTATATACACTGTGTGTATATATATATATATATATATATATATATGTGTGTGTGTATATATACTATACTATATACTATACTGTGTATGTTTGTGTATATATATATATTATATATAGCCAATATATATATATACCTAAAAAATTACAGATTATACATAGAAGCTTGCCTTTTACAACATACTTTATGTTGATGAACTAACTTACATGAAACTTTTTACATACACAGTATATCCAAAAATAGTTGCAAACACCATTGATTGCCTTTTTTTGCTAAAAAAGTTTTGCTAAATGAATATAGGAAATAATATAAAAATCTGAATAAAGCGGGTGTGGGGAAAACGCAACGCCAGTATTATTTCACAAGATGTGCCTAATAAAGGGATCTTCTGGTTCCACAGGTTCCTCTGATAAAGCGGTATTTCTTGGTGCCATGCAAGAATTTGCGACTCTCACCTGTGTGCGCTTCATCCCACGCACCACAGAATCTAACTTTCTGCAAATTAAGGATGCCAGCGGGTATGTGAAACATTCCTCTCATCCATCCTCCCTCTTTTTTTTATTTTAATTTGATTTGAATGTAGAGCCAGTACTCATATGTATGCAGCTGCCAATAAATGTAAATGTCCCTTTCTTACAACCATCGCAGATGTAGTTAGTTGAGACGTCCTGGAACTGGCATTGCTTCGCTCCTCTAGTTGTATTGCTCTTTCATGGAACACTTTTCAGAGCTTGAGGCCAAATTGCAGACAGCCGCAGTACAAAAAATGGTCTTCTTCATAATGGCTTTATGCTTTTTGCTCCAGGACACCCTTCTCAAAAGGGTCATTCACATGTGTGGCTATAATTGCGGTCCCTCTGAAAAGCGATCCACGGTGGATCAGGTGGTGCTGCCTGTTTCCGGAGTTAACCCTCAAAATGCCACGTGACTGCACAGCAACCACATGCACTGCAATCTTATTCACTTGAGTGGGTGACATTTGGTGGCAGTACCACCCGTGGAATGCGACATGCCATATAATCGCTTACCTACTGGGGTGATTTTTCACACCAGATGCAGTCAAAAAAAATCAGAACATGCTGCATTTTTTTCTGCACTGAACTGTACTGGAACATGGCAAAATGCATCAAAAACACCCAATTCTCGCATCCAAACGCATCAAAAACACACCTGAATGCATTACAGCAAAATAAAAAAAAACCCAGGAAATTGGAAAAAAACAAGAGGGGAAAAATATACTTGCATTGAAAAACACATCAAAAAACACTGGCATTGAAAACTATGCATGTTCAGAAATGCATTGGACCAGGGGTTCAAACTTTTTGATGAGGGCCGCAATGGGTTTGTGGACCCGGGTGAGGACTAGCTGCTGGCCGGCCCAGGTTTTACCTTCTAAGATGACTCTTCCATGAAGACCATATTTGTACAAGTATCTCTTTATAGTGGAATTGTGTAAACCACAACTCCGTAGTGTCTGCCCAGATCTTTCTGGAGGGATCTTGCAGTCAAACGTGGGTTTTTAATTTTCCCCCATTTCTCACAATCCTGCGAGCTGTAAAATTTCTGTCTGATATTTTCTTGGTCTTCCAGATCTTGCTTTAACTTCCACTGTTCCTGATGACTGCCATTTCTTAATTACATTCCAAACAGAGGATATTGACATCTGAAAGCGCTTTGCTATCTTCTTATAGCCTTCTCCAGCTTTGTGAGCGTCACTATTTTCAGTTTCAGTTTTCTAGACAACTGCTTAGAAGAACCCATGGTGCTGATTGTTGGGGCAAGGTCAGATGAGTCTGGGCATTTAAAACCTTTGAGATTGACATCGCCTGGTCTTCCCAGACGATGATTGAGAACAATACATGACACTGGCAGGTCTCAGCATTGGCAAAGGGGGCAGTGCATGCTATAAATTCTGCAGGGTGCCCAAACTTTTGCAGACGCCATTTTTTTGTTTTCTGTTATTTTGAAAGTGTAAATGATGGAAATAAAATCTAACTTTTGTTGACATATTATAAGAATGTCTAATCTGTAATTTGATGCCTTTTGGAGATTTTTTCCATCTTTCCTTGGCTTCTTTATGCACACTAATACAAAATTTTTAGCTGGGGTGTCCAAACTTTCGATCCCCACTGTATATGTATATATACTGTATATATATTATATATTAATATGTGTGTATATATACTATACTATATACTATACTGTGTATACTATACTGTGTAATGTTTGTGTATATATATATATATATATATATATATATATATATATACCTATAAAATTACAGATTATACATAGAAGCTTGCTTTTACAACATTACTGATTGATGAACTAACTTACATGAAACTTTTTACATAACAGTATATCCAAAAAATAGTTGCAAACACCATTGATTGCCTTTTTTTTGCTAAAAAAGTTTGCTAAATGAATATAGGAAATAATATACAAATCTGAATAAAGCGGGTGTGGGGAAAACACAACGCCGGTATTATTTCACAAGATGTGCCTAATAAAGGGATCTTCTGGTTCCACAGGTTCCTCTGATAAAGCGGTATTTCTTGGTGCCATGCAAGAATTTGCGACTCTCACCTGTGTGCGCTTCATCCCACGCACCACAGAATCTAACTTTCTGCAAATTAAGGATGCCAGCGGGGGAGGGGTATGTGAAACATTCCTCTCATCCATCCTCCCTCTTTTTTTTATTTTAATTTGATTTGAATGTAGAGCCAGTACTCATATGTATGCAGCTGCCAATAAATGTAAATGTCCCTTTCTTACAACCATCGCAGATGTAGTTAGTTGAGACGTCCTGGAACTGGCATTGCTTTGCTCCTCTAGTTGTATTGCTCTTTTATGGAACACTTTTCAGAGCTTGAGGCCAAATTGCAGACAGCCGCAGTACAAAAAATGGTCTTCTTCATAATGGCTTTATGCTTTTTGCTCCAGGACACCCTTCTCAAAAGGGTCATTCACATGTGCGGCTATAATTGCGGTCCCTCTGAAAAGCGATCCACGGTGGATCAGGTGGTGCTGCCTGTTTCCGGAGTTAACCCTCAAAATGCCACCTGACTGCACAGCAACCACATGCACTGCAATCTTATTCACTTGAGTGGGTGACATTTGGTGGCAGTACCACCCGTGGAATGCGACATTCCATATAATCACTTACCTACTGGGGTGATTTTCACACCAGATGCAGTCAAAAAAAATCAGAACATGCTGCATTTTTTTCTGCACTGAACTGTACTGGAACATGGCAAAATGCATCAAAAACACACCAAATCGCATCCAAACGCATCAAAAAACACACCTGAATGCATTACAGCAAAATAAAAAAAAAACCAGGATCCTTGGAAAAAAACAAGAGGGGAAAAATATACTGGGATGCATTGAAAACACATCAAAAACACACTGAAATGCATTGAAAACATGCATGCAGAAATGCATCTGGACCAGGGGTGGGCAAACTTTTTGACTTGAGGGCCGCAATGGGTTCATATATTGGACCCGGGGGCCGGACTAGCTGCTGGCCGGCCCCAGCCACTACCATGCCATCCATAGTAAGTATAGTAATATTCCCCCATAGTAAGCATAGTAATTAATCCCCCATATAGTAATTCATCCCCCCATAGTAATTCATCCCCCATATAGTAATTCATCCCCCATAGTAATTCATCCCCCATAGTAATTCATCCCCCATATAGTAATTCATCCCCCATAGTAATTCATCCCCCATATAGTAATTCATCCCCCATATAGTAATTAATCCCCCATATAGTAATTCATCCCCCATATAGTAATTCATCCCCCATAGTAATTCATCCCCCATAGTAATCCATCCCCCATATAGTAATTCATCCCCCATAGTAATTAATCCCCCGTATAGTAGTAATTCATCCCCCATATAGTAATTCATCCCCCATAGTAATTCATCCCCCATATAGTAATTCATCCCCCCATAGTAATTCATCCCCCATAGTAATTCATCCCGCCCATAGTAATTCATCCCCCCATAGTAATTCATCCCCCATATAGTAATTCATCCCCCATATAGTAATTCATCCCCCATATAGTAATTCATCCCCCATAGTAATTCATCCCCCATAGTAATTCATCCCCCATATAGTAATTCATCCCCCATATAGTAATTCATCCCCCCTATAGTAATTCATCCCCCCTATAGTAATTCATTCCCCATATTGTGTCAATTCACTTACCTTTGCTCCGCGCGTTCCTCTCGCCGTGTTCCCGCGCCGTTCCGGTCTTCAGGGCGGACTGTGAGAGGAGAGGAGTTCGTCACGCTGCCCCGCCTACATCCTGACAGCCAATGTTTGCCACGCTCCGCGGGCCGGATTAAAAGGTCCGCTGGGCCGTATACGGCCCGCGGGCCGTAGTTTGCCCATTGCTGATCTGGACTGTGTTTCTGTGGTGTGAATGGCCCTTAGGAAAATGATTTATATATTTTCTGAAAACAGATGCCTTGTAGAATCTAAAAATATAAAATATAATGTTGCATCAAGTAAATAGATACCAAACATGCCAAGGTTTAAAATTTGACATTGCCTTTGAATTAGCGACAAACTACGGTACCTAAATTTGTTCATAGGTGACACTTTGGAAGCCTTTCCAGGTTATCAGTTTAGAGTTAAATATGAGTCCTGGAGCTAGAATTATTATTCTCACTCCAATGTTTGCGGCAATACCTCCCAAGTGTGGTGCAGTTGCTGTTTACATACGTGTGCTGGACCAGTGTGTGGTTTTGCATTTGCGCACAAACACGGGGGCACATAGGTGTTTTTAAATTTTTTTTTTCTTTTTTTTATGTATTTATTTTATTTTAATTTTTTTACACTTTTTTATTTTTCATTTAACTTTATTGCTATCACAAAGGGTCAATAAGCTCCCTTAGTAATAGCTTTGGGCAGTCACAGGTCCTTTTTATGGAGACATCATGGGTCTATTAGACCCCTGATCTCTCCCCTGCCCTCATGTTTGGTCAGATGCTTCTCTGGCTGTAACGGCCTGGCCAAGACAGCTCTGAAAGTGATGAAATCCTCGTCGATTCTGGCTTAATTAGTCACAGAGGAGATGGGGGATCATGGCTGCAGCTGCCCTGACATACACTGTTCCCTACACTTTAATGTGCTCGGCTACTGGTTGCAGCACCTGGCGCATCGCCCGTTGTGATGACATAATAATATGATTTCTCCCGTTCCCCACAGATGTTGGTCCTATGTCGGTAAGGTTGGAGGAAGTCAAACTGTATCGGTGACAAGCAGTTGCATGGTCCACGGCTCCGTCCAGCATGAGCTGAACCACGCTCTGGGATTCTTCCATGAACAGAGTAGGAGTGACCGCGACAACTACGTCAATATCACATACAGCAACATCATGCCAGGTATCAGACTGGGTGATCTCATTACATTACAAGGGGAGTATCATTACAAACATTTGCATAGCTGATCGTCCATCAAAACTGCATGTGAATTTGTTCTGTGCAAATGAGGCAAAATGGAATGTTCTAAGGCTATATTGTCTGCAGATCAAACTTGAAAATGGGGAAAATACTACATTGTAGCCACAAGATGGCGCTGGGTATCATAGGAAATAAGTATGCCCATCAGTGCCATCTAGTGGCCATAATGCAGTATTGTCTTCATTGGCATATTCAGTCTACAGAGAATATAGCCTGAGAATATTAGATTTTTCCCAAGATGCACAGAATGACTTTACATGCAGGGGAGGAGGTGGATCAGTGGAATTTTCCTGGAGCTCCAGCCTATAATTTTTAGACCTCATGCTCAATGGGCATCAAAAATGCCTGTTTTTTTTTTTTTTGCCTCTAAACTCCCCTTCATGTTAGCCTATATATCCATATACGTTTGGCAGAAAAAAAAATGCCTGATGCACTGAACACGCATAAGTGCATTTAGAACATAAGTGTTCATTCATAAAGTAATATTCTGGCCAATGCAATGAATGAACGCCCGAACACTTGTCACACCTAAATACATCTAGACGCGGCCTTAAGCATTTTTTTTTGTGCTGCTTTTTTCTGGCCAGGAGAAAAGGTGTTCGGAAGAAGTGGGCAAACACCCCTGTGTGCCTGAGGCCTTCGTGTTTTGGGTGGAGTGTGGAAAGGCTGGAATGTCATTTGGGTTTTTTACAGCTATGCTTGCCTAAGTGTGGGGAGATTTCCCCTTACTTCCTGTCTCAGTGACTACACAGGAAGTGGGCAGAAATTTCCTCATCGGTACAAGGGGAAAAAAAGAAGAAAACTGTGGCCCAGTGATTATTCATAGCACCTTTGTTCAGAAGATGCCAGTTGCTGTATCTTTCCTTAAGGCCTCATGCACACCGGACGTTTAGCTGTAGGTGGAGGGCTTAGGCGCACCGTCCAGCCTTGCTGCCAGCTGCCTGTCATGCTTTATGAGAGTCTGCTGCTGCTGCTGGATGGGGCACCTGGCAATATGTACCTATAGGGCAGTGTGTGCCCGGGGACGAATACTCAGAGTGCAAGCAGTCTGTGTTCCGGGCATTCATCCCTAGGCACCTACTACCCTGAACAGAAGTACCACCGAGGGCACTACCCATCCCCATCCCGGCTGTCAGTCTCTCATAGAGCTTCACAGGCTGCTGGCAGCAATGTTGGACGGTGCGCCTATGCCCTCCACCTACAGCTAAATGCCCAGTGTGCCTGAGTCACTGACCCTGAACAAGCATGCAGCAAGTGTTGTGACGACTCCTGACTCCATGTTTGTTTTGGGTCTTTGAACACTGGATCATCATGGCAGCCAGGCAAGTAGCATTTGTAGGGTGTGAGCAATGGAGGCCAACCCATATCTCTGTGAAGGTTTCCTTTTAATATAATGGAATAATGCGATATAATGCTGCAAATTTTGCCTCCTGCAGGGGCCGAGGGGAACTTTCAGCAGTTTGACACACAGAATCAAGGCATGGAATACGACTATGGCTCCGTCATGCATTATCCAAGGTACAGATGGTGACATTACATAGAAAGAAAAAACTTGGCACTTTGTATTTGCCAGAAACACCGTTTTATTCTCAGGCTTCATTCAGATGTGGGGTTGTGGGGGGGGGCAAAAAAAATGAATGTTTGAGCTGCGTAATTTCCACCCCTCATGCTGAACTAGGCAGCGGATGGGGGTGTTTACATGCCGTTGTGCTTCACACCTGCAGCAAAATATACCTGACGTGCAGCAATCGGTAGACGACAAGCACACTCAAGCAAATCGGGAAGCGCTCCAAACGCGTTTGTCAGTAAAAATGGGTTTAAAACATGATGAGGAGGCATCACATCGCTTCCTCGCCACCTGTCAGTAGCCTCTGAAGCGCGATCCCAATTCGGATCAGGCTTCAGAGGAAATTTAGGCACACAGCTAAATCTACCATTAAACTGCTGCAATATCCTTGTACGCGGCACAGCCGGATCTATTAACATTGAAACATTCACTGATCCTGATTCTTCAACCCCCCAAAAATGTAATATATTGCAGGTTATCGGTCATCAGATTCATTTTTTCAGGATTATTCCTTTATTTTCACCTGGTGATCCTGCCAGTAACACCCTTCCTGTCCTATAGTGACAACGCTGAATCATTGCACTGTATCTATGGAGGAGAAGTGGTCACTCTGGGCTGTTCTGCTGATTTTGATTGGACACACACACCCCCTCTCTCCTCATCTCCTTACATTGGGAGGAGGAAATATGTAGTTCACAGAAGATAGTTGGGAAAGCTGAAAATATTTTTGAGATTTCAGTTCCGGGCACATAGAGTTGCATGGACACTGGATTTCTGTCAGGATCAACAGGTTTTTTTTTTTGGACTTGGACTGGAAAAAAAAAAACGACCGCAGCCACCACATCTAAGTACTAGTAAGCTGCAATACATGAAACGTTTGTTCGTGGATTTACATATGCTTTGAAGTGTTTAAAGCGGGATTAAACTCAAAAGCAAATATTTCAATCTCCATAATAATGAATGCTTGTGAAATCTCGAAACTTGGTAATCAGCCAGCAGCCCAAAAGAACCTCCAATCAATCGATTATTAGTATCTCCTACTCCGATCTCCTCCCCATTCAGATTGAGAAATATCAATTCCATATGTGGGCAAAATAAAACAGCCACATAGCGTGATACCGTAAAAACAATAATGTATTGCCATAGAAAACCCCCCTTAAGAAAAGCACTCACATTCCCTCAGAGGAAGTTGGTTATGACGAAACGTGTCAGGGCGTGACCATCCGTGACGTCAGTACGCACGCCGGGACCTCGTGATGAAAGCACTTGATCGTTGTTTTAAGATCTTAGTTACCAGTGTGCGGTGTGATTGTCACTAGTTGCTGTGGTCAGCGGCCATTTTATTGGAAGTATATATACAATGTGCATTACCATGTTACTCAATGTGAGTGCTTTTCTTAAAGGGGGGTTTTCTATTCTTCCCCTTATATTCACCTGGTGATCTGGCCAGTAAGTCTGCTGTTTTTTAAAATAACAAGCTCTCTTGCAGATGTAGCAGTTGAGGGACAAGGGATGTAGCAGGGATGAGACAAAACCATTTACCACTGACAGGGGTGCTTACAATGATCCACTTGTATTTATTTATGTAATATCTTTATCCCAAAAAGAAAAAAACAGCTGCTGTAACTCATTACAAAGTGTTATCTGGAGTTTGGCTTCAATTTGTTTGTATATCTAAATCTGCTAATCAGGGGCGGACTGACATCTCGTGGGGCCCCCGGGCAATATGGGATCATGGGGCCCCTGTGTCCTTGCCCACACTCAAAGCACACCCAAAAAAGCCTATAAATGTACCAGGGGCATTTCATGGGGCCCCCTACTGACCCCGGGCCCTCAGGCAGTGCCCGAGTGTGCTCAAATGGTCAGTCCGCCCCTGCTGCTAATACATCTAACACCCCCCTCCTCCCAGATTAACAATGCTGCTTCCAAAAGGTGCCCCCTGTGTTCTTTCATCCAGAGTGGGAGCATGCTAATACAGGAGGTGTGTTACTGGCCAGATCACCAGGTGAAAACAGAGTGAAAAAGCCTAAATTGAAAACTAGTGCAGCCACCACATCTAATGATTGGTATGCTGCAATATATAACATTTTTGGTTTTGGGTTTAATACGGCTTTCAGGCATGCTAAAGTGGCCTGCCGACCAATGTTATTGTATGTCATTTTAGCATGCTGAAAATGACTGTCGCTTTACAAGTTCATGGCAAAGTGGCAGTTCCTGCAGATAGCTCCCTCCGCAAGCATGTATACTGAACAGGGGCGGTGGGCTGTCAGCAGACACGGTCACTGTGCTCCAAATATACAAAGTGATGGTGTCTCTTTATGCACAATTTAGCACTCCTTCAGTGATATTGGATTAATGTGACACTAACTCTGGTTTAAAAAAAACAATTCTATTCCTGTCTTCTTAACTCAGAAATGTCCTTCTATTGCTGTCAGCCTCCTCCAAATCAAAAAATTATTTTTCTTTTTGCTGTCATCATCCTAATTCCTATTAGAGGTCCCTCTGTATAGAGGAAAGTAGTCACCTTCTCTTGCTCACTCCTGAGATGGACTATGCACTGTTGGGATTTGTAGTGTGCAGAGAGCAGTACACACAACCATAACTATCATGCACTTATCATTCAAAGCAAATGGAAGTGAGGGGGAAAAGGAGAGGTCTGAGAGCTCTCCAAAGACATTATGAGGAGGCAGAAAAACACTGTACACTGCTTAAAAAGGAACACTTTTTAATAAGAGTCTAGCATCAAGTCAATGAATCTCCTGGATTATTAATCCGGTCAGTTAAGTAGCAGAGGGGGGTAGCAGAGGGGGTTGTCAATCAGTTTCAGCTGCTTTGGTGTTAATGAAATTAACAATAGGTGCACTAGATGGACAACGATGAGACGACCCCCAAAACAGTAATGGTTTTACAGGTGGAGGCCACTGACATTTTGTTCCCTACTCATTTCTGACTGTCCATTTGGCTAACTGGTCCATGAGGCCAAGATGGCACATTTTGTGCAAGCTCCCTCCTCCAGGATGGCACATCAATACGTGTCATTGCCAGAAGGTTTGCTGTGTCTCCCAGCACAGTCTCAAGAGCATGGAGGAGATTCTAGGAGACAGTTAGTTATTCTAGAAGAGCTGGACAGGGCCGTAGAAGGTCCTTAACCCATCAGCAGGACCGGTATCTGCTCCTTTGTGCAAGGAGGAACAGGATGAGCACTGCCAGAGCCCTACAAAATGACCTCCAGCAGGCCATTGGTGTGAATGTCTCTGATGAAACAATCAGAAACAGACTTCATGAGGGTGGCCTGAGGGCCCGACGTCCTCTAGTGGGCCCTATGCTCACTGCCTGGCACCATTGAGCTGGACTGGCATTTGCCACTGAACACCAGAATTCGGCAGGTCCACCACTGGCACCCTGTGCTTTTCATAGATGAGAGCAGATTCACCCTGAGCACATGTGACAGACGTGAAAGGGTCTGGAGAAGCCGTGGAGAACATTATGTTGCCTGTAACATCATTCATCATGACCGTTTTGGTGGTGGGTCAGTGGTGGTCTGGGGAGGCATATCCATGGAGGGATGCACAGACCCCTACAGGCTAGACAATGGCACCCTGACTGCCATTAGGTATCAGGATGAAATCCTTGGACCTGTTGTCAGACCGTACGCTGGTGCAGTGGGTCCTGGGTTCCTCCTGGTGCACGACAATGCCCGGCCTCATGTAGTGAGAGTATGCAGGAAGTTCCTGGAGGATGAAGGAATTGATACCATTGAATGGCCCCCACGTTCGTCTGGCCTAAATCCAATAGAACACCTCTGGGATGTCATGTTTCGGTCCATCCAATGCCGGCAGGTTGTACCTCAGACTGTCCAGGAGCTCAGTGATGCCCTGGTCCAGATCTGGGAGGAAATACCCCAGGACACCATCCGTTGTCTCATTAGGAGCATGCCCCAATGTTGTCAGGCATGCATACAAGCACGTGGGGGCCATACAAACTACTGAGGACCATTCTGAGTTGCTGCAATGAAATTTCAGTAAAATGGACTCGCCTGTTGCATCATTTTTTAATTTTGATTTTTGGGGTGTCTTTAAATTCAGTCCTCTGCAGGTTGATATTTTTCATTTCCATCAAACGATGGGGCATCCTTATGTTCCTAACACCTTACCCAGTCCATATCAGTATAGAGATCCAGCTGGAGATTTTTCCCCCATTCAGATCCAATGTGTTTTCAAAGTGTTCCTTTAATTTTTTTGAGCAGTGTATAAAGAGACCTGGTAAGCTTTTCTGTCACCTAGAGCAGGGGTCTCCAAACGTTCTAAGCAATGGGGCAGTTTATTGTCCTTCAGACTTTAGGAGGGCCAGATTGTGGCCAGTGGGAGTAGAAAATGCCTCAGACTTGGTGTTCAGTGGGGTAAAATAATTACATAACACCTGTGAGCAGTAGGAGGTATTGGTATTAGTGGGAAGAATAATCTCCATCGCTGGTGTTGGTGGGAGGAATGGTAACCCATCATTGGGGTTAGTGGGAGGAATAGTACCCCATCGCTGGTGTTAGTAGGAGAAATGATGACCCATCATTGGTGTCAGTGGGAGGAATGGTGCCCCATCATTGGGGTCAGTGGAAGTAATAGTGCCTCATCATTGGTGTCAGTGGAAGGAATAGCAACCCATCGTTGGTGTTAATGGGAGGAATAGTGCCCCGTCATTGGTGTCAGTGGGAGGAATAGTGCCCCATCATTGGTGTCAGTGAGAGGACTAGTAGTCCATTATTAGTGTCAGTGGGAGGAAGAGTGCCCCATCATTGGTGTCAGTGAGAGGACTAGTAGTTCATTATTGGTGTCAGTGGGAGGAATAGTGCCCCATCACTGGCATTAGTGGGAGGACTAGTAGTCCATTATTGGTGTCAGTGGGAGGAATAGGGCCCTAAGGCCCAAGTAAAGGCCAGCAGACCAACTGACCTAGAGCACCCCTTTTAAACTAAATCTATGCTGATGATAGTGAATGTATAACATTTGGTTTTCTTTGTTTCTAGATATGCTTTCTCTGTGGATGGCAGTTCTCCCACCATTGTGCCGAAACCAAATGCCTCTGTCCCCATCGGACAGCGTTATGGACTCAGCACCTTGGATGTTGCCAAGATTAACAAGTTATATGATTGCGGTAAGAAAAAGCAGGATTCCTAGAACTCTATAAATCTGGGTGGTCGCTATGGGGGGGATTTACTAAAACCGGAGCACTCAGAATCTAGTGCAGCCGTGTATGGTAGCCAATCAGCTTCTTACTTCAGCTTGTTCAATTAAGCCTTGAGGATAAAACCTGGAAGCTGATTGGCTCCCATGCACAGCTGGACCAGATTTTGAGTGCTCCAGTTTTAGTAAATCCCCCCTATTTCTCAATCAGACGTATTCTGTGATGACCCTGGAGCATCAGATGAAATCCAATCATACCTCTGTATGTAAATAGCCGGATTCTTGCTGCAGCAGATCACTGCTCTGTCTTGCTCTTTATATCTCCAATCACTTTGAATTCCTAACAATGTACCTTTTTCAGGTCTCTGCCGAACATTGCTCTCCAGTCCTAGAGGATCCTTAACATCTTCCAACTACCCCAATAATTATCCCGCTGCCAGCCGCTGTTTGTGGCTCATTCGTGTTCCATCCAACCAGGTAAGGCCCACAATACTGAACCTCAAAGGGTTAAATGGTTATTACTTAAAGTGCTTGTACACCTTTAGATATACCCAGTAAAGTCACTGGCCTCAGATGATACACAGAGATGAAAAAAATTTTCCTACATAAGTTGTACCTGTTTATCTGCAGTCTTCTCTTCTCTACATCCATTCAAAGTGATGAATTTATAACACTTGTCTGAGAGTTCAGAAAAAAGGGGGCGGAGAGCATCATAGAGATCAGTGAGGAAAGCTCTGAGAGCTGATTGGAGGGAAGGGACACCCCCCCCCCCTTCATACAGCTCACAGGAACAGAGCTGAGGCTGTCAATCAGCTGGAGGTCCCTCCCCTGTCACCTTTTTTCTCTTTGTGTCAGGAAAACTTGTCAGAAGTGATTTATGCTGATAGCAGAGGAATGAAGCATCAGAAAGAAATGACACTTAGTACTCTGGACTGAGACAAGAACACACTATGGAGGGATAGGGCCCGTTCACACCAGAACGTAATGCGGGAAACCCAGGTTCTGTGCGTGTTTCCCGCACTGTATTCAAAACACACTGCACTTGCAGTGGGTGTCAGTGTTAGCTTAGTGACACCCCAAACGCAGCGCGTTTGCCTGCACTGGATCACATGGTACAATAGCGCCATGTGATCCGGCTACTGTGTGTTTGCATACACTACTTTTGGTGCAGACTGGCATGATTTCAGGCCAATCAAATAAATGGGCTGAAATCGTACTACACCTGGATCGCATGTGAATCGCACTGCAATGCACAGCATGTTCCTGTGCAATTGGTGGTGTGAACCGGTCCTCATTCGACATGACGTATTTTTCATCCTTATGCGGTTAGCGTTAGTAAATAGATAGGAAGGTATATTTTAATTTACTTGTTTTAGGCTTTATTCACACATTGCACGGTGACAGACATTTGACTGCATTGTAAAACGCCTATCACTGCAAGGTCACACAAAAAACTGTTGTTTTCTGTGTTTTCCTTTCACATTGCAACGCAGCCTGGAGCTGCAGTGCAGCATGCTGTGATTTTATCGCAGCGCACTGTACAGAATCACATGGCACTGTATAGCAGCACAGCACATTGCGCTCCTGTTCAGCGCCATGAATAAAGTGTACAATTTGTACACTTAAAATAAAGTTTGTCCAAAACATAAAAAAGGGGGGGGGGAGCCATGTGATGTGCTGAATCCCGCACCACACTGCACCTAGCGCAGTAGGATGTGGGCAGCAGCCAGACAAGTAAAGCCAGCTTTCCTCTCTAATGTGAAATGGCCATTAATCTTTTTTTTTTTTTACTTCTTCAGTTGCTTCCTGGTATCTGGCCTAGGCCAAAATGATATCATACATCCCAGGAGTCTTCATGGACATTTTTTTTTAATGTAATCTGGAGGAGGGGTTTTCTCAGCTAAGCACAACCTTCTGTCTGCTTGCCTGAGCTATGGGCAGATGGATTCCCGAAATTAACAGTTACATGAATCATCTGCCTTTACTCAAGATGGCCACAGCTAGAAATGCTAGGGGATGAGTTCTCAGCAGAATAAAGCACGGAGACATGGATAGATGGGGGAGTTTGTTTTGAATATTAAAAATGAAAGTAATAGCAGTTTGTCTTTATGGTGCTCAGATACAGTTTCATTGCTTTTTAATAACAGAGAGCCACTATTCACGAAGCCAATGCCCGAGGTTTCCTTCTCTTGCTGACATCTCCTTCTTCGCCAGGTCTTCCTGCAATTCCTTGCCTTTGATGTGCAGACCTCCATGGACTGTACTTCTGATTACCTGAGGATCTACAATGGGCCCACCACTTCCTCCCCGGTGTTATTGGACAGAGCCTGTGGATCCGGCCAGCTTCCCCCCGATGATCTCTACAACCAATACAATGCTCCTTGAATTTGTCAGTGACAACAGTGCCGAGGCCACTGGATTCAAGGCTGAATACAGCACTGGTAAGACTTCACACCACAGTGCCGAGCTTTACCTCATTTTATGATATGAAGTTCTGGAAAGAAAAAATAATAAAATGTAATAAATGGGAACCTTTAGGACTCATTCACACAAGCTTTGGTCTCTGAAGGGCAGTCACATTCAGATTGCTCTTCAGAGAGCATTTGACAGGCAGCGAGGAGGGGCTGTATCATTGTATCTCCTCATCACTGCTTGCTTTAACCTTTTGAAAACTGCATCCACTTGAATGGGTCACGCTTGGTGGGCGAAAACCAACAGGGGTATAATTCTTGCTACAACCACAAAGCAAAGCATGTGTACAACCCCAGCCTCTGCCTAGGCAGCTAAGAGGGTGCATTTGATTTGGGGGACAGTAAAAACACAGCTCAACTGTGGGGTTTTCTTGCCCCACATCCACTAGTGTGAATGAGCCCCCAGTGAGAGCTTTACATTTTTCCCATTGCTTAGCTTCCTTTGAACTGCTGTCTGTCACTGTCCTGGTCACTGATGTCACCAGCAGGGATAAGCATGCAGATCTGGAAGAGCAGAATGACGTCAGTGCACCAAGGCCCAAAATGGGGTGGGCAGGAGGGACAAGTGCCCTGGGCACAGAGGAGCAAAGGGGCAGAGAATGGACACAGGGCAGTAAATCTATTCTACAGCATGTATTAACAGTGGGGGAGGGGGCGCAGTCCCACATCCTTGCCCTGGGTGCTAGATGAACCTATCCCAGTGCTGAGTGCACCTAATTCCATAATTCTTCTATGTCAGTGACTCAGAAAATGCTGCCTTGGAATCAGATCCGGTAGAAAACTAGAATTTCTAGAAGGGAGGGGGCAGCATGTTATATCAGTAAGGCCTCATGCACACAGGATGGTTTTTTCCTTCCCTGGATGCCTTTGCTCCGGGGGAGAGAGAAAATGCAGCTTAAAAGCTCCCAAAGCTGCGTTTTGCATATGTGTTGGGCGTTAATGCATTCTATTGGCCAGAATATTTATTTATTTTGGCCATTAGGATGCATTATTGCACAAACGCCCAGTTGCGCCTAAGTGCGTCTAGTATTAATGTGTGTTTGTAGTTTTTTCTGCCCACACGCACCTCTTTTGAATGTGCAAGTGATGTTGCGCCTAAATGCATCTAGTGTTAATGTGCCTTTTTTAAAAACATGTAGTACAGTTTTTTTTTTGCCGTGTTTTGCATTTTAAATCTGCCTAGCAACAAGAAATTTTTTAAATAGAATAAAAAAAAAAACGCAAAATCACCGCAGAAACAGATCAAATGCAAACTGCATAGGAGTGAACCTAGCCTGAACTGGCTGGAATTCCATCCATCTTTGGCCAGCTGGCACTAATAGAGAGATAAATCCTTCCAGCAGGAACATAGACAGCAATAATAACCTGATGCTTTACAAGTGGACTCTTTATCCTTGGCTGAAGGCTGCACTTTAAGTCTAGGTTCACACCTATGCGTTTTACGTTGCGTTTTGCAGAAACGCAAATCAGTCCATTTACCATGATTCCCTATGGGACACATTCACATCTCCGCGTTTTCACCCGGGGTGTTTTTTTGGAAAGGGTCAGGGACTTTTTTTTAAAAACAAAACGTTGTGTTTTTGGTTCAATAGACTTCAATGGAGATTCTGCAGAAATCATGTAGTGCATTTTTGACACATTTTTGATGCGTCTTTTATGCATTTTGTGTTTTAATATGCCCAGCAACAAGTTGGAAAAAAAAAGCATAAAAAACGCATGTGCAAAAACGCACTGCAGAAACGGATCAAAACCAAACTGCATAGTGTGAACCTAGCCTAAAACCATTTATCAAAAAAATGTATTATATACACATAGGGGAAGATTACTAAAACTCGAGAGTGCAAAATCTGGTGCAGCTGTGCATGGTAGCCAATCAGCTTCTAACTTCATCTTGTTCAATTACGCTTTGGCAATAAAACCTGGAAGCGGATTGGTTTATCAGCAGAGCTGCACCAGATTTTACACTCTCCAGTTTAAGTAAATCAACCCCATAGTACATACAGTAGGTCATAGTTGCATGTCCTTATAACCATTTCAGTAACAATCTACTGTGATATGTATAATGTCGATCTAGATCTGTCTTAGCTCAAAATGACTGCTTAGCTTCCACTGTTGGCTCTGCCCTTTTGCTGTCTTGGAACACTGGGGTAGATTTACTAAAATAAAAAAAATAATCTGGTACAGCTGATTGGTTTCTATGCAGAGCTGCACCAGATTTTTACCATGCAGTTTTAGTAAATAACCACCACCACAGTGTTGCAGTCATTTTTTAGAATGTCTGAAATGTCTTTACCAAGAAATAAGTCTGACTGCAAATATAAATCTTTTATTTCTTTTTATCTTATCTTTGATTTGTTTGACAGTCCTGGTCTGATTGGTTTATATTCCAGTAATGATATTTTCATTATTTTAGTGACTTGCGGCTCAATGCTGACCAACCGCAGGGAACATTCTCTACTCCCAACTACCCCTCTAACTATCCCACCAATATGGATTGTACCTGGGTAGTGACGGCCCCGGCTGGTTATCTAGTGAGTACCCAGAATGAAAGAGTATAGAAACCCTAACAATGTACTTTTCTAATTAGGTCTTATTTGTTGTGTAGCTGGTGATGGGCTTTATGTAGCACGAGAGCACCTTGTATTAAATGTGAATTTTATATTTTTGGGTTTTTACAAAAATAATGTAAATGTGCAAAAAAAAGCATATAAGCTTGCAAACTTTAAAATTGTAATTAAAATAAATGATATTTAAAACCACTATACCTTTCCATTAAAAGTATTTTTTTTAATTATGAGGTGGTATCAAAATGTTTAGAGACTAATTTTGTAACACGCCAACAGATAGCAGCACAAGGCTGCATGCACAGTAATAGGGAGCACCGACCTTCATAAGTCAGTGTGGCAGAAGACATCATCCTGTGTAGATCAGAAGCTGTGCAGCTGGTACTATTCTGACCACATGCATTACCACATCTGCTATTTCATCATGGACAGCAAGTTAGAACAAAGAGCAAATGTAAAATTCTGTGTGAAACTGGGCAATTCCGCCACAGAGACGTTTGACATGATTCGGCAAGTTTACGGCGAAGCTGCAATGAGCCATTCGAGGTGTTTTAAGTTGCACGTGCAATTCAAGAGAGGAAAAAAAAATCACTGGAAAACGATGAGAGATCAGAAATACCTTCAACAACCTCAACCCCCAAAAATGCCCTCTTCTTGAATATGAAGATCCAGCTCAAAGGTTGCCATTTTCACAACTTGTGGAGATCTAGTGATTTGCATTATTCACGCAGAATTTCACTTTGTTCTAACTTGCTGTCCATGATGAAATGAAATAGCTGTCCATGATGAAAACTCTAACTTGCTGTCCATGATGAAATAGCTCTAACTTGCTGTCCATGATGAAATAGCTCTAACTTGCTGTCCATGATGAAATAGCTAACTTGATGTCCATGGTAACACACAGGGTCAGAATAGCTCCAGTTGCACAGCTCCTGATGTACAGATGATGCCATTTGGCACACCGACTTATGAAGGTCGGTGCTCCCTGTGACTGTGTGTGCAGCCTTGTGCAACCATCTGTTGGCGTGTTACAAAACTAATCTTGAAACTTTTTGATATCACCTATCTAGTCTTGAACCTTCAGTGGATGACAGTTTCTGCAGGATTCTGGGTTTTCTGCTGTAACTCACCCTAATGATCCCTCTTATTTTACTTTTTTCTGCATAGTAGCGGTGGGGGGAAGGGGTAGCTTTGGTGAACCCTCTCTGAATTGCAACTGCTCAGAGATCTGCCATCTGCTCTTCAAGAAATTGAATATCTGCAGGGCAGCAGGGACACATAACCTCAGCTAAGATGAAACATATTAAAGGTCAATTATCAGTTTATATATAGTTGAACTCATAATTATTATTTTAAATTTAAAACATGTCATCCTACTCAACATAGAAGGGCATGTGGGGAAGAACTGAGCAGGTCCATCACAAGATTACAGACAATAGTAATAAACGGGTCCCTGGTTTATAATTCCAATACTACATGAGAGCTTTAGTTAGGTAACATTATGTTCTATTCATTTTAATTATTTTAAACAATATGGTATAATCTGGAATTACATTTCAATAGATTTGTAGAAGTAGACAAAAAAACAATACAAGTCGTAATGGGTGAAGGTGAGCCTGTTCCATCATGTTCTTCAAAGGAAAGAGTCTGTAGCATTCATTCTGAACCAGGATTCCATAGCACCCTAAGGTTCCATCAGAGGTTGCCAGGGCTTCCTTGAACAATAAGCAGCTTCTGCCTCTCAGTCGAGTAAACGTTGACACCATTGATCTTTTTAGCTATCCATAAGGGGGAAATTCTTCCAATGACCAAAAAGTAATCAGCATTCTTCTTATTGACCACCAATGTAAGAAACATTCTTCCCAATGACCACCAAAGTAAGGAACATTCTTTTTATTGACCACCAGTGAAGGAGAATTCTTCCTACTGGCCACCAATGTAAGGAGAATTTTTTGACCCAATAAGGGGACTCATCAATGTAAGGGGAATTCTTCTCATTTACCACCAATGTAAGGAACATTCTTTCCAATGACCACCAATGTAGAGAGAATGCTCACTACTGGCCACCAATGTAAGGAGAATTCTCCCTACTGGCCACCAATGTAAGGAGCCTTCTTCCCCCTGACCACCAATGTAGGAAGCCTTCTTCCCACTGACCTCCAATGTAAGGAGAATTCTTCTCATTAACCACCAATGTAAGGACCACCACACTAATGTATCATGAGCTGTAGATATAGTAATATTAATAGGAGTTCCCTGAGACTGGAAAGATAACTTAAGGGTTCCTCCATGTTAAAATGATTAAGAAAGGCTGGTGTGCTAAAGCCAAACATGGGATTGGTCAAATGGA